TTTTTTTTTCAATGTCCCATCCTAGTTTGCATTCCTTGTCCGTTTCCTACTTCTATGTACTTACTACATACACCTTTTCCTCAGCATAGCATCTCGGCGATTTCCATTGAGGCCATATTTTGCTTTGGCCTCGAATGTAGTGAAAGCTCACTCAAAATCGACAATACGCTATAGCAGAGCATATATTCCAGTTAAAGAGATACATAGAGTTAAGTAGAATATATGCTCCTTTTTAATGATGCCAACAACTTTTTTTGTGCAAAGCACTACTAAGCTTGCTCACCGCTATCGAAATAAGGTACACTCTTTGTCGAGTGGGGAGAGTTGAGAAACTGCTCCTGAAAGTATACTTTATTTCGATTATTCAATTTATTTTTCTTGCTTGAAAAAAAATAAATAAAATTCTGATAAAAATTTCAACTACGCCATCGTTTCTTTTATTTTCATTTCATATAGAGTTTTTTGCGCGCCAACCACCGCCGCACTCGACTTCCTTGCTACAGAGTAGACACAAACAAATTTTACGAATTTTTATTTTTATTACTTTCCTTCAATCGCAAGCTTTCTTCGTATAATTCACACTTGCGTGTATGTACGTGTATATATTTGTTTGTGTATGTGTGCCTGTTATTGTCTTTTAATTATTGTCATTTCACTTTAATTTTAGCAAAAAGTCCGAATGTTCTTATATTTTTTTACATATTTTTTTATAATTTTAACATTTTTCAAATACACAATTATTGTCATTTAAACCTAACAACTACAATAAAATATTCATTTTACTTAATGCATTAATTATTTTGTATATAGTAAATAGTTACATAGTACATATATTTTTTCTTAATTTTTTTGCATTAAAAAGTTGCAACTACTTTCGCTAATCAATTTTTTTTTTTTGTTTTTCATATTTATTGTCATATGTTTTTGTATTTATATATGTATTGTATATGTATTTTTTTTTTGATATTTTTTCATTTCTTTTTGTTCGTTCTTATTCAGTTAGCATAGTTTTCCATGAAATCCGTTTCTGGTCGTCGAAAACTGCGGCGATGCAATGCTGTTATACGCGGCGGTGTACCCCAATGATGTTGCCTGCCTACGCTCGAACTAGTACGGCTTACGCCGCCACCCGCCATTCTGGCACGCGCTCGTAATGCACTCTTTCGGCTGTTGTTGTTGTTTTTGTTGCTGTTATTCGCATTACTATAATAATTGCTATTTGCAGTTGAGGCATAAGCAATCGGCGGCCGATTAATTGTTGTCGGCAGCGCGTTAGTCAGTATGCTACTGCTGGTGGCATCATCGGTGTTAGTGTAGGCATAATTTTTATTGGTTGTTAGACGGCCGCGTATACCGGCAGCACCGCCCCAGTGCACCACTGGGCGGTAGGGTAGGAAACAGCGTTTACAAACGGCCGCGATGGGTTGACGCAGTCGCTCGTGTGGGGGGTAGTATTCGACCTGTGGTGTTTGAATTGGTGTTGATTGGGCAGCCGTGAGAGGAGGGAGAAGAAAGAAAATTTAATTAAATTTAAGTGAATAATATTTATTAGTGCGTCGTATTGAGTTTTTAAGTATTATTGTAAATACACAGACACATTAAAGTAGATACTTAAATATTTAGAATTTGACAGCGAAAGCATTCTTTTTTTGTACAGACACAATCACAATCTAGCTACTGGACAATTACAATTTACCAAGAAGTACACAGAGACTTACATATATCTCTAGCTACAATACAAATAGAAGAAGCTTTTAGTACTTATTTGTACATATGTATGCACTCTTAGTATTAATATAAAAAAAATCCCAGAGAAGTCTTCATTCAAGAATTGTATTAGTGCAAACCCATACGAAGTAGTATCAAAATATTACATGTGAGTTACTCAATTACTCAATTTGAAACGTTTAATAAAAGCTCTAACGTTTTGGAAAAAAGTTTTGGATAGACAAAGCCAAAAGCAGTTCTATTGAAACTTGGGAAAATCGTTGAGCTTTCGAAATCTGCAAGACTATTATCATTACAAAGAAAAAATGACAGAAATCTTTAGAAAGTGATGGTCAGATAGAGCTTTTACTCTGTGCGCGCCAATATGAGAAAGCTTTGCCCGCAAGCAGGCCGGTGCCCACCTCGGATGCAAAATCTACATATAGAGAGCTTTGAAAAGTTCCGCCCGCGGGTACTGTTTTGAGCATCACTGCTTTAGAAGGCTTCTCTCTCGGGATACGCTTTGGTCATGCTACCTAAGAGCCGTGCATTTACACCAGCGTTGGGCAAAGAGAGCTTTTACTCTGCTCGCGCCTAAACAAAATGTATAGAAAGCTTAAAAGAGCTTTTCCCGCGGGCTAGGCAGTGCCTATCAGTGATTTACAAATATAAATATAAAGCTTTTACAGTATGCCCTTATATATCAGCCACGAATAAAATTAAGCCCTCGAGCAGATCTTTTTCAGGGTTTCTCTGGAACCAAAGTACATTGACATGGATAAAATGAAAAGCTCTATCTGGTTATATACTGTGGGTGGAGCTGTTTCTAAGATTTCTTAAGATTTTATTTACAGCTTTTCCATAGATTGTATATGCACACCGCTTTTTTGTATGGTCATGCCTAGAACAAAAGCCCTATCTCTTCGTCGCTGATTTAAAATAAAAAAAAGCTCTACTCGTATGAAGATTTAAATGCTTTTAAGCATAGTTGCTCACTTCATAAGCGCGCTCGCCAAGCTCTTTAAAGTTTGCTGTACCGCTTGTTTACGGCCGGCATAGAATTAAAGATCTATTTGGCAAACATATGTTTGTATGTAACTTTAAGGTCATTTACAACTAAATTGACTTGTTAGAGATCTTTTTGAAGTTTTCTTTAAATTTTATTCGGGCAAGCTTTTGTAATGTGCAATAGGGCGTACCTTATTTCTCGCAAAATCCAAATTTTGTTATTTTCCTGTGTGGCACAGTTTGTAATTTGTAAATACGCAGACTTAAATATCCTGAAAAATTTCGAATGCAAGCGTCGACTCTGTACCCATCTATGTATGTACAATATTTTGTATGCCTCTACATGTTATGAACGAATATACTTACATAGGAATGTAAATGTCTGAAATGATGGAGAGTTTTTTCTCAAATCTTAACGTCTGTAAGTGTGTAGGTATGTTGGCTGCCCATCAAAGAGCAAGATTTTTACTCATATCTCCACAACCACAACTCCATAGGCAATATTACAGAGCTTCCATGTTAACATTTTCACCCTCACATAAAAACTATCTGCCGTTTAGATCGTTAAAAAAAAAAAATTAAAAAAGCGGCGCTTTTCCTTTGATTGCAACCATCAAGACTCTCGCCGCAAATCGGAGAATGTATGCGGTATGTAGTCTAATGTTATTGTTGTAAGTGTGTTTTTTAGTACAAATTTGCGTAAATGCTTGTATTATGTGAGGGTATGAGTGCGGGCATATGAAGATAAATATCTACTTAACTACAATGGTCTACAAGGACATTTAAACAAAGCGTTATGATACATTGCAGCCCACACGTAATCTAAAAATAGATTTTGAGAAAAGCTTTTACTTAAACTAAGGCAGACAGACACAAAGGTGCATTAGTATACGTACATAACTAAATGCATATATCATCACCTGAAATGTAAAAAAAAACGTCACAAACATCGTAGCTGAAATGCAAAAAGTCGTAAGTAATAAAAAATTCAAAATTAACTCTTTGATTGATATGATGGAGTTCATCGAATTACAATTCCTCACATCGTTTTATGAAACCAAAAAAAAAATTATTAGTCACGACCTTTTCCATTTCAGTGACGATGTTTGTTACGTCTTTTTGCATTTCAAGTGATGATATGTATGTATGTACTTGGACATTAGGCGTGGTCGGTTTCTTTAGATAAAAAAATATGTGACCTGGTCTACGGAAAGGGGGCTTAGGTGTCAAAAAATCAATTTTCACTTTTTGGTTGATTCGGATGGAAGATGAGATGCTTTTTCACGT